TGACGTAGAAAAACTGCCGGAAGCAATTAGGGAAAATGTCTAGAAGGCACATTAAAACAAAAGAATTATGATAAGTACTTAGTATGAATAAAAAAAACAAACAAAAAATGTAAGTACCTAGTCTAATTTTAGTTAAAGTCGTTCAAGCAGTCACATAAATCATTTAACTAACTAATAAATATGCTATGCAGTTCAGATAAGGATCTACTAACGTTCACATGCGCATTGCTTTGAGCTGCTTTCCATTTGCCAATGATGTGACATTATTTTTCTTCTTTCTATATTCACGCAGATAGGAAACAAACGCTAATCTAAATGATATAATGAACTTTTGATACTGACCGTTTATATAATAAGTACCTATTTTTTATGTATAATAGCTTCAGTATTTATCTTTTTTATGGCATAAGGCGGGAAATGACAAGGCGGAACACTCACAACACCAGAGGATTTACGAGTGTGTTGCCAGCCTTTTGGGATTTTGGTAATCGGGGAGGGGTGGCAAGGTGAGGTAAACACACAGACACATGGCGGAACACAACGAATTCTTTCTTTCACGCCGGTTTTTCTGTCCTGCGACCATGTCAAGTCTATCTAAGTAGATTAGCCAACTACGCAGCCACAGGAGATATTAATGCGCATAGGTTGTGCGCACAGGTTGTGCGAAACCGCAATGCATAGTGCGGGATGCACTCCTTCTCTGAATCCGATACCTAAGTCAGACCAAACAATCAGAGACAGGTCAGGCAAAGCCTGAACAGCTTAACTAATTTTTCGAGAAATAAACAACAAACACAAAAGTAAGAAACTGCCAAAATCACTGACCTGCTAATAATGGTCATTTTTATCATAAAAATCTATTCATTATTTTTCCCGACACTTTCTGATCTGTCACCCAGCCACTACGACAAATATTTAATTCTAGTTATTACTAGTCTAAGCATAGAGAGGTACTAGTACTACTAGGTCAGTATGTTCCACATAATGGATTATTTCATGCGTAATTTAAGATCGTCTCTAGTCCTCCACGGTAGCGGCTTTGCTCCAGTTTTCAGTAAATTGTTTGATGATGGCGTAATAAGTCAATCAAATATACGTATTATTATGAAAGATACGTGTATATTACATTTGCTATTGTTCTTAAAGAAGATAATTTTCGATGTATCAATTACTTTCGTTGGTGGATTTATGTTCTTACATATCGTGATTGTGTTTGTGTTTACTCTACCGTTTCGGGCTACAGTACCTACACGGATTGTATTTGTAGTTACACATTATGTCATCAGTCTTTAAAAGAATTGGCTTGTGATAAGTTGAAAACTAAAAGATTTAGTACGTAGGTAAATTCTAGCGACCCGCCCCGGACTTACACAGGTGCGATGTTGATACTAAAATTCTCCTCTTTTAAATGGATGTTATGATATACACAGGTATATAAACCTTCCTCTTCAATCACTCTTTCGAATAAAAACCCGCATGTAATCTGTTGCGTCGTTTTAAACATTTAAGCATGCATAGGGATATAGGGACAAAGATAACTATTTTTGTAAGTATATTATACTTACCGACTGAGTGATTGTCGACTTCGAAATAATTAAGGAACGTCTGTTCCTAGTAGAAGAAAGTTACAAGCCCGAAGCGACAAAGTTATCCGAATATTTATGTAGTAAGGTTATTGACCCTTAATTTATTTGAAAAAGTGAGTTCTACCTATGGTTCTATGGCCGCTGCTCGTGTGTGATCATACTTGTTAAGTTTTGTGATACAAAATTATGGTATCGTGAGTTGATAAGGTATTATGGAGGTCATGTAACAAGGAACGCGTGATTATCTATCTACCTACTTAGGTTACCTTAACAAAGATCAGAGATGAACCTTTACAATTTTCTAAAGAATCGTTGTCCAACATGTACATACTTTATGCCATACTAGCTTCTCCCGCGCGGTTTCACTCTCACTGCTCGGCTCCATTTGTTTGGAGCGTGATGTTTTCTAGCCTATAGCGCTCGGGAACATTTTGGGAATCCGGCCAGTGGTTCCAAAGATTACCCCCTACATACAAACTTACAAATTTTACCTCTTTATAAAGTAGTAAAAAAATATTTTTAGTACCTACAGATTTTTTTTTTTTTTGGATAGATTTTTCTTTAAAATAATTGAATGGCGAACAGGCGGTCTTTCTTATTGACCTGGTGTGATTCACGTCTGAAAATAAGCCAATTGTTCGCCATCCCTGACCTACGCAGTCTGAATTACAGCTCCAAAATGTCAAGTGCACTGTAGGTATGTGAGATAACATTCTGTATAGGTGCTATAAGTATGTACCCACAGCTTGGCTGAATAACAATAAGACTGGAGAGGTGTCAAGGGACACCCGGATAGAATGAATCTCCTATGAAATAATTAGTAAAGGAATTGTTATAAAAAATAAGGATTCATTATTGTTGAACAAATAAATATAATGTAAGTAATTAAAAAAAATACCAGCATGCCTATACACTCATCTAAAAGAATCGTTGCGACATCACATTGTGCGATACGAAATAGAAATATCCCCATCGTATAGATGATTGGCTGTCAACAATTGTGGTGGTCGGTTTTCGCGAAACTTTCTGCCTCGCACTGAAAGGCCTGTGACTCCTCTGAAGTTGCAGTGTCTCTGGGCGGTTCTGATCACTTACCACCAGGAGATCCGTCGGAATGTTTGCCTAATTCTCTTATAGTGGAGACTGACCGTTAGTTTATCTATTCCTGTATTATTTGTCCATCGTTAGGTAGGTAGGTACTAGCTTAGATCTAACAACTCTACCTTATACCGATTCATGCCGACTGCAACACAACGAACCTACCATACATTAGATAAAACAAACATAACTATAGGTTAGTTACGGAGATCGTACTACTTATGAGAGACGCGGTGACGGCAACGGTTACTGGAGATAAATGCGATAACTGTACCATAATGATTGTTGTCCCGTTTCTTGCATAGGTAGGTAGGTACATACTTACATAGACATCCTTATTCGCATGATGAGCACCTAGTACGCAATGTTGTTTTACTATGATGATGATGATGATGATGAAGAAGATGGCTATGTATATAGGTACTTCTTCGTTTGCATTTACTGCAGGTACTAGCTGCGTGATGCAGCCAAAATACTTCTACTGCTGAAGGCCTTTAAGACTGTTTTGCCATAACTCCCACAATATACAAGCGTAGTGGATCTTAGTGGATAATATTGTCGGCTCTTGCAAGCGGATACCAGTGTCCTCTGTGACGTCATCGCCTCGTTGCGTTTTCATAGCTCTCTCTTTCTCACCCACTTTATTAAAAACCAAGACTATAATGCCGATACTTCTGGTGACTGGTTGCAGTTCGTATCATACTCAGCTAGGTATAATAAATTTGCCAAAATTCTGTATAAGGTGATCCACTATATATGATATAGCTAAAGTGTTCATTCTTCTTTAAACGAGCTAATACAAAAAAAGGAGATAAAGCCTTAGGCTACGTACAACTAATCCAATAATGTAAGGGCCGCGAGGTAATAGTTAGTAAAAGCAAAATAAAGATTCAAAATTCTAAGAAGTAGGTAAGTATGATCGGGTATCTTGCACGTGCCAGTATTCTGCACGTAGGTACTACTCGTATTATACATTGCAGTAAACATTTAGCGTCATCGTCCAAAAACTTACTAGTCATTTAGAAATTTGCAACCACATGGTTCTGATATCAAATTAATATAGTCAACGACGTAAACATAATGAATTGTGTAAGACCCCCTGAATGTTGATACTGGCATTTAGGAGATAAAAGATGAGCGATGAACAAACATCATAGGACCTTGTAGGATGATTGATCTATAATATAAAAATTTGCATTTTCCTGGCATTCATTTGCCCCCTTTGTTAATCTAGATTATAAAGTCACCTAATCTTAAGAAGAGTAAACATTACACGTCATAAGTTGAAGAAATCAGAAATAACTAGCTTAATAATTATTCAAACGAAGCCACAGAGTACATTATACTATATTGAAACGAAGCATGACCTTTTTTCAGCCGATGTATGCTTGTTTGTGACATTTCCTTGATACATACACATATATGTATATATAAAGGTGTAGGTAATACATATTATCTTTACCTACCTACTCTAAGAAATATGCGTCATCCACCTATTTTTGTAACAATAACATTTTGCGAATTCAAATTAGAATCTATCTGGCGTTGTCTCCTCATTTGGTTCTTTTTATAAATACAGAGGTTATGCAAATCGCACTAAAAGTAACGCTTTAACTAGTCTGAATTGTGCAATAGGTATAATGAGTCGTTTATGACGGCATTGCGAAGTTTACTGTTATGTTCAAATATAATTAGGTGATTTTCGAGAAAATACAATGCAAATTTGTGGTGGTATGGTTTTTTTTGGGTATAATTTAGTTATAATAAACCATCTGTTTTTCTCTAACTACCTATCTAATCTAAACTTGCAAACTGTCGCTAGTGGTTTATTCGTGATATGTTTTTTATAACTAATTAGACCCTGCATGCAATTCATATACCTAATTTCTAAGCCGATGAGATGCAGAGCTATATTCTTACCAATACACTAATAGCAATAAAGTACGTGTTTAAGCAGGAATTGATGCAATAATTGCAAACAAACTTGAGCAAAACCCATTGTATTCCTAATCTGAATACTTATACCGAAACCGAAGGACGAATTTTGACCTACATCAACCAATGGTTATGCAAGTATAACCCTAAAACAATGATGTAAACTGCGGACCATAGATCGCCGTTATTAACAATGGTGAATAAGTGAAAGTGCAACTTAACTACCGGTCCGTTCCGGTGGGCTATTGTTTCTATAACGCATTGTTTTCATTAGCGCCGGTCCTTGACGCCGGAATACTGGTTGTGTGACTTCTATGAAGCAATAATCTAGTTAAGATCCCTTTTTGCAAAACCACTAAGAGAAACATAACTTCAATTCCAGATAAGAAGAACGAAACATGAGAGACATGCTACAATGACCATCACAGAAGATTTAAAGGAATGGACACTAAGAAAGCAGAAATAGTCACATGGCTCTTCTTTCTGTTATTTTCTTACGCGACTGGACAGACTTCGATATGTCCAGCCCCAGAATCAATCCTCCCATGTATATGCACAAATCGGCACGAAGATATTCAAATATGGTCAGTATCTGATTCAGTATTTGATCACAAAGTTTTTATCATTTGACCGAATAATAAATAATAACTCTCGCTTTCAGGTGCACACACAGCGACTTGCCCCAAGTAATAAAAGGTGTTCAGAAAGTTGGAGATCTCATCAGGAAACCCATAGATGAGTTGATAGTAGAAAATAACTATCTCCCGTCCCTTCCAGGGAAGATATTTCAAAATGTGAAAATAATGAGACTTATGCTCCGCCACAATGGGCTCGAGCGAGTATCAGCGGCTTGGCTAGAGTCACAAGAGATGAATCTGGTAGAAATATTCATCGTTGAGAATGATTTGAGAAGTCTCCCTGCAGAGAGTCTTATGAAATTACAAAACCTACAAGCTTTAACAATTCAATCACAAAATCTTAAGAGAATACCGGCCTTCTCTGGTTTGCAGAAGCTACGTTATATAAACATACAATCGGAAAGTCTGAATGCTGTCAATGAAAACACTTTTGAAAACTTGCCTAACTTAGAGAAATTGTTTATTCAAGGAAGTATAAATCTTAGAATACTTCGAGAAAATGCATTTTACAACTTGCCAAAGTTACGAAGGCTAGAAATTACAAATTGTGGTATAAACCTCATACATATGAGGGCTCTGTCTCTGCTTCCTTCACTAAGCGAAATATCCTTTAGCAATAATAAAATCACAGATGCAACAATGGTTGGTAGAGCTATGAGGGACTTGCCAGTGTTATCTCATTTGAATCTTAATCATAATTTAATTGATAAACTAAGCGAAGGCGGTTTTGTCGACCAACCAATGTTAGAGAAATTATTTTTGTCTCATAACAACATCAATGTAATACACCATGGAGCCTTTCACAGAGTTCCAAAGCTGAGAGTTGTGGATTTGAACTATAACAAAATAAGTCAAATACACCCAGAATCATTTTTGCAACAATCCGGCAGTGGAGTTGAAGAGCTCACTTTGATTGGCAACCAAATAATGCACATTTCAGAGTTTAGATCACTACTCGATGCGTTACCTCGTTTGAAATTCCTAGATCTTAGTGACAATTTGTTACAAGAGATCCCACGAGGGGCCCTAAGAGGTCACCCCAGTTTGGAAAGATTACATTTGAACAAGAACAATATTAAATTCATTCAAACAGACGCTTTTGTGGCCATGCCTGCTTTGCGAGAGTTACATCTAAGTAACAATTCATTAAATGACATGAATGAAGGTCCTTACTGGAATTTACCTGCTCTGAAGGGATTAGACTTGTCTTACAACTATTTCACACGAATGCAACCAAAACTGTTGTATCATCTTCCATCATTACGAAGGATCAACTTAAGTCATAATCAACTATCAATAATAGACCCAATAACGTTCATGGAGTTGCCATTATTGGAGTACGTGAATGTATCAGGAAATAGTTTAGTATCTATACACCCCGCTACCTTTAGGAATTTGGCAAATCTTTACGAATTGGACGCCAGCGTAAACAGATTGATAGAATTTGTTCCTGGATTACCACGAGGTCTAGAAAAGTTATATCTCCATCAGAATCAGATAACAAGCTTGCCGACGCCTCCATCACCAGACTTAGATTTACCATCTTTGAGAACTTTAGACATTTCGAGTAATGGCATCCAGAAAATTCCTCACGGGAGCTTGAAAACTTTGCACAACTTACGACGATTTTATATGAAGAGGAATGGATTAAGGCAGGTTGAAATGACCACTTTCAGTGATTTAAATCGACTGGAAATTTTAGATTTGAGCTACAATCAAATTATGGCTATTCACCCAAAAAGCTTTAGCAAACTGAACCAACTAAAACAAGTAAACTTGCATGGAAACACTATTGAGAACTTTGACTTCATGGCAATTCAAGATAATGCTGCTCTATCTACTCTAGATTTCAGTAAAAATAAACTAAAAAGTATAAGTCCTAACCTCGTGAACAGAGCTCTAGATGTGGAGACATTAAATATATCTTCGAACAATCTGAACGAGTTGCCAGCTACTTTGAACATGATGTCTCGGCTAAAAGTTTTAGATGCTAGCTACAACCACATAAAACATTTTGATGGTAATTCCATAAACAGCATAAACACACTAACCGAATTTAAAATGCCGAACAATAAGTTAATGGAACTAAGGACTGGAAGTTTTAAAGACCTGAGAGATCTTGAAACAATAGATTTGGACAACAATAACATTGAAGTGGTCCATCCGAAAGCGATAGCGAACCTGCCGAGTTTGGTCTCTATTTATTTAAGTCGAAATCACATAATAGACTTGCCCGACAGAGTATTTGCTAATCTCCCGAAGCTAAGGATTATAGAAATGCAAGGAAATCGATTACAATATATTTCGCAGCGAGCTTTCGAGAATTTGCCCTTGGTTCAATATATGAACTTAAGCAACAATCAAATTACCAGTATCGATAATTCTGGATTGAGGCAATCGTCTTCATTGGAAGTTTTAGATCTTAGTTTTAACAAACTTATGAGATTGACGAGAGCGTCGTTTCAGTATATGGAATGGTTGGTTGAACTGAATTTGGATAACAATATGATATGCCACATTAGCGGCCAGCCTTTCGATTTCATGCCCCGCCTCAAGGTTCTTTCTTTGCGACACAATAAACTAACGACAGTTGTGGAAAACACATTTGCTAAACTAAGAAATAACATCGCCATTTTGGATATTGATGGTAAGTACAATTAAATGATTTTCGGTTGTGCCCTCAAAGTTATGTTATGAGAACGACTGGGTGTACCTACCATGCCTAACCAACTTAGCTAGGTAAAACAGAATGTATACAATGTTTTTGTTTATAATTTCAGGTAATCCAATAATTTGCAACTGCCAGATTGTTTGGTTGAAGTCGTGGCTGTCGGAGTCGTCTTCTATTGGGCCTAAATGTGCGGATGGCACGTACGTTAAGAGCATGCCATTTGGAAGAGATGACTGCTCAAACACTGCAGTGACGAAATTAGAAGAAGGAGACCTGAGAACGTGTGTAACACACGAGAACGAAGCCCTGCTACCAAACTTGGCGACCTCACAAGTATATTCAACCTTAGACAAAATTAAAGATTACACAACTCAAATTAAGAACACCTATCAAGTCAACAAAATTAACAGGCCATCACCAGAAGAATCAGATTACTTCTACGATGAATACGTGGATTATCCTTACAACGAAACTTTGTTGGACGGATTGAACAATGAAGTGAGTGCATCGCAAAATAACAAATCAAGTGGACTTCCAACCTTATACGCTGCTATGAAAAATACGACGGACAGAAACAAGCAAGTTCCTCCAAAGCCTCCGGACAGCAGCTTCACGTTCTTCGGGATGCCTCTACCACCGATAGATATGGGGAAAATATTGAACACAGGACGCAAAATAGACTGGGTGGATAAAAAAAATACGCACACGCATAGCCACTCTCACTCACATAATGGAAATAAATATCACCTACCAGAAGCACCCAAGTTTGAAACTGGTGGGTTCTCACCAATTCTACCGACGACTGCTGGAGGATTTAAGCCTATTCCTGATCCAACTTTAAATATGACGAATACAGCTGTGCAAACACAAAGTGCTAGTACAACTCACAACAAAAAAGGTGCTGTGGAAGAAACCATTTCAGTAGTTTCAATGAAACCACCTATGAAAACAGTCCATAACAATACTACACATCAGAAAATTAAAAGTGAAATACATGAACTGCAGGCCTATATTGATGATGACAACAGCACACATGTTGCCTACAACAGAACCAAAAATGTTGAAGAACAGAAGATGGATCCTAATAACCTGAGCAAATACAATCTGATGGAGTCTAATTTAACTATTACACAAGTTACTGAAAAGGAGAGTTTGCTAATTACAACAGATACCAGTAATGATATGTCTCTACAAGCTTGGATGGAGAGCAGTACTTCCTCCTATTCCTCATCAACTGCAGTGACATCTAAACCACCAATGAAAAAGCATATTGAGCAGGCAGCACCCACAGCTTTATCAGCAGTATTAGTACCCAGCACTGCAGAATTGAATGAAAGAAATCATGGCAAGAGGCCAGCAACAATCACTAAAGTAAATCTCCCACAAGTAGAACATTATGACCACAGAGAAAACTTTTCACCAAATAGAGAGCCAAAGACAAGATTTTCTGAAGTAATGAGCACTGGCAACACGAAGACAAGGCAAATTGGTGATAATGATTGGTATTATAAAAATTATAATAATTCAAATTTAGAACCATACATCGCACCGGGTGTGCACAAGCCAGACAAGCCAGTATCAAAGAGTAATGTTAATGGATACAATAACTTAATATTTAGTGTAACATTATTTTATACAATCTATAAAATGTTATAAGTATTTGTGTAAACCTTAAAATACTAATTTCAAAGTAGTTGCTTATAATAATACAGTGAAAAATGTGTATATATGTGGAAAAATTGGTAAAATTAAGATAAATAAATACATGATTTTATTTGATTTGGTTTATTTTAACAAAACAGTCATTTTTCTATCATATTACTGGTTATCACACTGGTTTACGTAATTAATTAATTATTGTTTGCATATTAGCATACAGCATCATTTTTACATAAATAGGTAGTTTGAAAACAGCATTATTTTTCATTTCACTTATTAACAAATGTAAATTTTTTGGTAAGTGGTACTTATACATTATCAAAATAATGAAATAAAAAAAAATAGACCAATAACAAATATAGACCAGTAAAAAACAATAAATAGCCAACTAAACAGTTACACATTGTTACTACAAAAATATTCTTTCATTTTCTCTAAAGCTCTGTATCTATGGGATATTTTATTTTTTTCTGCCTTTGGTAGTTCACCGTAGGTTTGACTGTAACCATCAGGTTGGAAGATACAGTCCCATCCAAAGTCCCTTGATCCTCTAGGAGTCACAATTTGACCATGAGTCACGCCTTGAAAGAGTTTAACATCTAGATCCTCATGACCAGAACAATAAGCAAATGTGCACACAGCCTTGGCAGATTTATCCTCCCACCCAGTCAGCAAGTTCGTAAGTCCTTCAGGTTCCAGTTTTTCTAAAAACCACTTGATATACGGCCCTGGAAGACCCTTCAATGCGTTAAAACAGAGAGCAGTATCTTCTACTACCACAGGCCTCTTTAATTGTCGAGCTGCTTCTTGACACTTCTTTATTGATACTTCATCTATTTCACCTTGCAGCTCTGGCAAGTCCAGCTTGTGACTAATTATTTCTAAAGGAAAATTACTGCCCAAAATAGCCCTCACCTCTTCGAGTTTCTTCGCATTGCCAGTGACGAAGGTTATGGTTCTGTGTGACATTTTTGGGCAAAATTTAACCACTTAATGTAGTTATTGATAAAATATGTGTTTGACAGTGTCTACTAAGTCACTTAAAGGAACGATATTTATACAGAAACTAAATGAAACCTTTTGTTACATATACTTGGTTTTCCACTATTTTGAAAAATGTGTTTTGTATCATGGATTTAAATTGACAGTTTTTAGTGAATTTTGACGTTGACAGATGTTGACATGTTTTTTTTTTAAATTATAGCACTTGGCTTTGGATGCAAGTCGATGTTGACATGTGTTATAAATGTTTGCTACATGTGAGAATATCAGAAGCTAACTTTTAATTTAGACTGTCCACAGACAATTTTAGCCAAAGACAATCTTAACTTTTATAATGACTGTCAAATTTTAGTTTTGATTGCCGCTTGGCAAAAATCATTAGTTTGTAGATTTTGAGCGAATTGTAGTTGTTAAATATTGATATTATTGTCTTGTTTGCTAATAAAAAGCAGATATTGTTACTAACTGTATAAAAAAATCCAATAACAATGCCGAGTCAAGAAGTTTTAACCACAAAAGTTGTGGTTCATCCTCTGGTCTTGCTGAGTGTGGTGGACCATTTTAATCGAATGGGTAAAATAGGTAATCAAAAGCGAGTTGTTGGCGTTTTGCTGGGTTGCTGGAGGGCCAAAGGAGTCTTGGACGTTTCCAACAGTTTTGCAGGTAAATTCCTTTCTTACAAATTTAGTAACAAACACTCGAACTGTTTTAACAAAGCTCTAGCACTAATAATACAATAGTGTGGTGTAATTTTGTTATACTTGTCGCTTTGTCGACGGATTAACCATTTACAACTATTTATCTGGCACATAATGTGAGAATAGCTGACTTTGTTAATGAGAAACATAAATAAAACCAGTCAGCAAGTTGGTGAGTCAAAAGATAAAAATACTCCTGAACCAAATTAAAATGTTGTGCTTAAAGTTATTATATCAATTAGACATAAACTAAACAGTGTATTTCATAACCATGAAGATTCTAATTCATATTCTTGTCTATTTCCAGTGCCATTTGATGAAGATGACAAAGACAAATCTGTTTGGTTCCTTGACCATGATTACTTAGAGAACATGTATGGAATGTTCAAGAAGGTCAATGCTAGGGAAAAGGTGGTGGGCTGGTACCACACTGGCCCCAAACTACATCAGAATGATGTAGCCATCAATGAACTGATCAGGCGCTACTGTCCTAACTCAGTCCTTGTCATCATTGATGCCAAACCAAAAGATCTTGGCCTTCCGACTGAAGCCTACCAAGCTGTAGAAGAGGTCCATGATGATGGTTCACCAACAACAAGAACATTTGAACATGTGCCCAGTGAAATAGGTGCTGAAGAGGCTGAGGAAGTTGGAGTAGAACATTTACTAAGAGACATCAAGGATACCACGGTTGGAAGTCTGTCTCAAAGAATCACAAACCAGTTGCTTGGCCTGAAAGGTCTGCACTCCCAACTGAGTGAAATCAGGGACTATCTTGTCCAAGTAGGACAAGGCTCCTTGCCAATGAACCATCAGATCATCTACCAGTTGCAGGACATCTTTAATCTTCTGCCGGACATAGCTAATGATAGCTTTATTGATAACCTATACATCAAAACAAATGACCAATCTCTTGTGGTGTACTTAGCTGCTCTTGTAAGGTCAATTATTGCTCTACACAATCTGATCAACAATAAGATAACAAACAGAGATGCAGAAGAAGGAAAGAAAGATGAAAAAGAAAAGAAAGATAAGGAAAAGAAAGAAGGTAAGGATGGCAAGGAGGAGGACAAGAAGGACGATAAAACAAAAGATAAGAAAGAAAAAGATGAAAAGAAAAAGTAATTTAGAATCGTCATTAGAATAAGTTGTTTGTAATGCTGAATTATTTTTAAATAAATTGTATTTACTAATTCAATTGTTTATTTGTGTCCGTTACCCAGGCCAGATGTTGTCGACAATGGTCATTTGAATATTATAGATAATTAGTTGTGCGGCTTCTGTAATTGTTGCGCACATTTTTAAATTTGTTGCGCTTATAGTTTTTTAATTATTTCACAAAAACATTTCCTGCTGGCGTAACGTTACCACAGCCAGACCTTTTTCTTTCTAATGGGAATATTTAAATAAATATTAGCTATAAAATTAGTTGTCTAGATAAAGTAAATGTTGTGCCTTATTTTGTATTTGTTCTTTCTTCGGTTGCAAAGTAATTCGAGATTTTGCTGCGGTAACGTTTTTGGTTTTGTTAGATCTTTGAAATGGTTAAGCGGATTCTTATCATATTTTGTACACGACTTCCGAGGACTTAGTTTAAATTTGTTGTGCAATAACAAAACCAAAATAATGCATATTTTAAAGGTTTTTTCATTAAATAGAAAAACACTTCAATTGGCCCCAGCACTCTCAATAAGAAGTCTAAAGACTTACTTTAAACGTAATTTTAAAGCTTGTAACTGCCTTCAAATGTATGTGAAGTTTCATTATTATCCCGTAAGTATTTAACAAGTTATGATGATATTCAGTGCTTCACGAGCACGGTCTTAATGCACGCGGTGTTATTTGGCCACTGGATTGGATATATGAACTGAATGTTATGTCAATAATTAGTTGTTTAGATCAGTTGTATATCAGTAAAATTTCAGCTCAATACATTGGATAATTAATGAGATAATACTATGAAAGTCATTAGGAAGTGAATGACCGTGGTAAGCCGACCAAGTTTAGGTGGTTACGAAAAAGCGAAAACGCAGAACATTATGGTACCTTCTAAAATATGTAGGATAGTGTTATAAATTTAGTACAGACATGTACAAAAGTTTAAAAAAAAACTACATGATTATTCAAGATTTTTTATTGAAAGGTAAAATAATCATTTCAATTCAACTTTTACTCCCTTACTTATAAAAACTTGTGTTGCTTAGCAACCGATTAAACATCACCCGTCCTTGTCATTTCTATTTCAAAATGCAGTTCAAAAATCATCTAAAAGGTTACAAAAGTAACCTTCTGGCAAGACTGAGTGCATTATGCAAACAATGTATTACCCCTTCACCCCACTCCTCCTGCGTCCTACCGAACGGCATGCTCTAGCGGTGATTTTTGATAATTTTGTGGAACTGGAAGATAATGTTTTCTTTTATATTATTATTATATAGGTATTGAACAGTGTACGCGTCTGTACCAAAATTGTAAGGTGTATTATACTAAACATTTCAAAAGATAGTACAATGTTCTGCGTTTTCGCTTTTTCGTAACCACCTAAACTTGGTCGGCTTACCACGGTCATTCACTTCCTAATGACTTTCATAGTATTATCTCATTAATTATCCAATGTATTGAGCTGAAATTTTACTGATATACAACCTGATCTAAACAACTAATTATTGACATAACATTCAGTTCATATATCCAATCCAGTGGCCAAATAACACCGCGTGCATTAAGACCGTGCTCGTGAAGAACTGAATATCATCATAACTTGTTAAATACTTACGGGATACTAATGAAACTTCACATACATTTGAAGGCAGTTACAAGCTTTAAAATTACGTTTAAAGTAAGTCTTTAGACTTCTTATTGAGAGTGCTGGGGCCAATTGAAGTGTTTTTCTATTTAATGAAAAAACCTTTAAAATATGCATTATTTTGGTTTTGTTATTGCACAACAAATTTAAACTAAGTCCTCGGAAGTCGTGTACAAAATATGATAAGAATCCGTTTAACCATTTAAAAGATCTAGCAAAACCAAAAACGTTACCGCAGCAAAATCTCGAATTACTTCGCAACCGAAGAAAGAACAAATACAAAATAAGGCACAACATTTACTTTATCTAGACAACTAATTTTATAGCTAATATTTATTTAAATATTCCCATTAGAAAGAAAAAGGTCTGGCTGTGGTAACGTTACGCCAGCAGGAAATGTTTTTGTGAAATAATTAAAAAACTATAAGCGCAACAAATTTAAAAATGTGCGCAACAATTACAGAAGCCGCACAACTAATTATCTATATTAATCAAATGACCATTGTCGACAACATCTGGCCTGGGTAACGGACACTGTTTATTTTACTTCTTAATATTGAAATGGAAATATTTATCTAAACTTAATCACATATCAAAATTTGATTAGCAGTCAAAAGTTCATTCATTCATTCATTCATACTTTCCCTTAGAATTCAAGTTAAGAACGAAATTCATTTTCTATGTAAGTATTAATAATGTAGCTTGTTTCTGAATATGGAATTATGAGTTTATTAAATAAGTTTTCATTACTTTTCATAAAACAATTGCAATAAGTACCTAATCTTGGTTTTGATTAAAATCAATCTGATTGTTACTGATATTGTTTTTCCGAACAAGGTAAATTACAATCTAGTTGCGCATGCATGTCTTAGTGGACGAAAACTTTGCTATATATGCATTTTTCTTTAGTCATATCTCACATCTACCTATAACTACATATAAGGAAAAAAGTATTATTATCTAAGAATTGTTTAATTATATGAAGTTCTTATCCTTATGAATCCCAATCACTTATTAGTTTGAGATTTTCGTGTCCTCAGCGCTACTACTTGATTAGAAGTAGGTACCTAATCCAAACTAATATTATAAATGCGAAAGTAACTCTGTCTGTCTGTTTTTTTCTTCACGCCTAAATTGCTGAACCTATTTTTGTGAAATTTGGTACAGACATAGTTTGGAACTCGAGAAAGGACATAATAAGGACCAAAAATCTGCAGGAAGAACTATTAAACGCAAAAGTCAAAGTCGCGGGCAAAAGCTAGTAATAAGATACGATTTCGACATGACCTTTTATTCTGTTTTTATGGTAAATTGCCCAGCCATGTTGTAAGATATTGTTTGTTTTATTTTTATTAGAAACAAAAATACCAGAACATACTTTAATGCCCCCAACACTAAAGTAGGTATATAGGTACTTGATATAAAGTGATGAGTGGGACACGATGAAGACCTTGCTGTATAAAAATGTGTCGTGGGTCCTTATAAGTAAAGGAAAATATCTAAGTACATTTGCAGCGTGGCGCTGGAGGATATACTGATGGGCGGCTAAAGGGATAAATAGAATAGGTAGTACATATAGCCGCCATTTACTTAGGAATTAATCCATTTACTTGCAGTTACAAAAGTTCTTCGAACTAAGCAAACAAATATCAACTTTTTTTAACCCAAATCTTAAAATCGTTTGGCATACGGATTTCAGAATAATAATAAATAGAACATAATTTTTTGTGTTAATTATTTAAATCATTAATCTAAACATATTTTAGTATGATAGCAATTTGGTTGAAATCTAGAAATATTGTTGATAACTTGCACCTTATCAGACATTGATAAGACAAAGCCGAAATATTGATAAAATTCGACAGTCTTCGTAAAAACGTCACGCGGCTTCTATGGTTGTGAAAATGTCGGGTTACTAATAAACTCTTTGTGTGGGGTGAATCTCTTAAATATCTAAGATGGCAGACCGTGTTACCTTGTCGGTAAGTACCAACCTTCCATACTTAGTTCATATTATTACCAAGTATGTAGGTATACCAGTTTCTCTACGTCTTAAATGGCGAAAGATTGGAGATAAGCAAAATCTGATCGTCTGTTATGACAAACAAGGATTCAACAATCACATTGCAAATAGCTCCTATTTAGGCAGTTATTTGTATAGGACAGTAACCAATATCTATAAGTAGGTACCTACCTAGATTTCATTGTCTTGGCTGTATTATCTACACTGCAGACTTGTTTGGACAATAAATATACAATCTGCCAACCTACTTTTAGTACTCCTGCCAAAAAACTTGTGTCCACACTCACATAAACGAAGATTTTTTTTGCAATTTATGTTACCACAATACAGGCCCCCGAGGAAAAGGCATAGCCTAGTTTAGGGACTGCTAATATTCTAATCATGTACTGGTAGTTACCTAAGTTACTTTAGTAAGGAACTAATGTATGTAGGTACCTAATTATAACAAGAGGACTTCTTGCTTTTGTCTGAAAACTTAAAATTCAATCGCTGGTTTCAAAAAGAGTGAAGAAGAAGAAGAGTAGGTACCCTTCATTAGTCTTCACCTACTAGGTCGCTAAAGACATGTCCGTCTTGTATTTTCGAAATTGTAACAGCTGACCGTTATTCTAGTAGGTAGAGCACTTTACCTACTGAAAGTATATTCTGTATTATAAGTACCTGAATGTGGTTTGCTTTGTGGCAACTTGTTTGTTTACAATTCCTTCTGGGTTTGGTACAAGGGCAAAATATAATAGGATGCCTTAAATGTTATGATATACCTATATCTGCTAAGTGCTGCAGACTAAATGTCTGAATATGCAAGGAAGAATATTAACGTTAACATAGATATTAAAACTATTAATAGTACCTATTAACAAAATTATTGTTATGTGTAATTCTCAGTGATTCTTATTAATCCATGTGGTTACAGGACTTCGTCTGGCTAAAGCCAATAGGTAAGACGGAATTCGATGTGCCAATAGCAGTAAAAGTTCTAAAAAGTGCCGGAGACAAAATTGAAGTGAAGGATCACGATGGCAACGTGTTCTCTACGTCCATTCAAAATGTCCTCAAACCGCTGCACTCGACGTCAGTTCAAGGCGTCGAAGACATGATCACACTGGGTGAACTGCAGGAGTACACAATCTTACATAATCTTCATATGCGGTATTCGAAACAGCTGATTTATGTAAGTAATTAACTTTTTCTATTTATGTAAATAACTAGCGATGGTCAATGCTTCGGCACGAATGGGCGGGCTCAATCAGAGTGACACCACGGTCATGAAAACTACTGTCATGAAACAACGTTTTAAAAATCACCAATCTTCAAATCCCTATGATATGAGGATTATGAGATGAGGTGATTTAAAAAGACGAAACGACCCACGAAAGGAAGACAACGCACTTGTAACTTTAACTCCTTCGATGATGCGAGTTTCCATGGGCGGGGCCGATGGTTTACCATCAGGTACAATCTGCTCGTTTGCCGCCCTATCCCATAAAAAAATTGTGTGAACTAGACATATGGCCTATAGCGTCCCGCGTTGGGCAAAACTTACTGATCATCTTTTGAAGTTAATAAGTCTATACCTGATTCTGTAAGTCCTATCGGTCGCTGATGTTTTATAGCCTAAATAGCTTACCTCGATGAATTGATTATCTAGCAATACAAATAATTATTTAATACGAACGCTTTATAATACTACTTATATGTATAGTACCTACCCATAATAAAGTAAAAATATAGGTGCAGAGAAAAGGGTATTTTCAGTAGCAACTAGAATTTCAGCCGGGGTTGCGGGATAAGCTCAATGAGGCACCGCGACCTCGGCCCAGAGCAGGAGATGGAACGGAGGGGTTTTTAGTCAGTAAGAGTCTGACACTACCTCCCGCTCGACTCTGGGCGGGAAAAGACATTCGAAGATTTTCCCCTCATAAAAAGCATCTAAGAAACAGATTTTTATAGAAAAAAACCATTGTTGTAGCTTGACGACTATTAAACATGGTATCTAGAAAACTGTCAATTGAGCAACTTTCGCTAATTAGTTCCAGGTACTTAGGTTTTGTGGAACTAATAACTTAATTTAATATAAATGCGTGATACTGCACTATACATTTGTTAAGTAGGTCCACAATTACACATAGAACGTGTACCTAGGTCGAAAGTGCTGCAAGACTTTAAAATAGTCTGACATTTAATGTACGTACGCAAATAACTCAAACGCAAAAATAGCAAAACGCTTGCATTAATAACACCAGTGTTGAAAACACAAAGTTGCACCACACTAGGAATTTGTCCTGTGTCATGGGAGCGTTTACAATACAAACATACAATTTCACATGCACATCACACCCAGACCCGAAACAACAATTTGTGAATCACACAAACCGTTGTTCCGTACCTACAGGAATCGAACCCGCGACACTTACGGCACCCAGTTGCCCAGCCACCGCGACAATCATACGGTATTAAACATACAATTTGACAAAGGTACACAATATAACAACCTGACCCGGAACATGTATGCGGAAATTCGATTCGCAATACGTTGCATTGAATCCACTGTTGCCTAGCATAGCATCAACTGTGCAGTCAAAACAGTTTGGTAGTTACCTATAAATATCTCTCTCCAAAATATTTTTTATTTAATTTTACACGAGTATTGAATTAAGAAGTCAAGACATACGGTGTAGGAATACATTATGAGGAAACCTACGCATTGAACAAGCGTGGTGCTCGGTATGAGAAGGTCTCAGTGGAAGAAGTGGCCTTTGCTCATCAGCTGCTGCAATGAAACTGAATATATTTTGGTACCATATCTAATTAGGTGACAATATCCTACTTATGTAAATTAATAAGCAATTATCACTTTAATAAGATACCCCTCAATTCACTTTGGGTTTAAATGCTATACTGGTAGCTCGCCGCCCGCGCGTAACTTTCCGCGCGCGCCTCAAAGAGCCAATAGACCACCACAGACGGGGCCCCATAGGGCTGATGTTCAGCTGGGGTTGCGGGGCAAGCGCAATGAGGCACCGCAACCTCGGCACAGAGCAGGAGCAGGAACGGGGGGGTTTTTAGTCAGTAAGAGTCTGACACTCCCTCCCGCACTATCCTGGGCGGGAGAAGTCATTTGATGATTTTCCACTCACACAAAAAGGGCCGCAAATGAGCAGGCCGGTTGCCTTATGATTAGGTACTTAGAATCGGGTGACTGTCTTCTCATTAGCCGCGCGTATGATCAGCGGTGTTACGAGTGTGTTCTAAACATTTCAAGTTCAAAGAATCTGTGATTCAGGTATAAAAAATTATAAAACCTTTTTTGTTTCAGACTTACACAGGCTCAATGTTGATAGCAATAAATCCATATGAAATCCTACCAATATACACGATGGATCAAATACATTACTACCAAAAGAGGAGTCTGGGGGAAATACCACCTCATATATTTGCTATCGGCGATAATTCGTATAGAGAATTATTGGATACAGCGTCTAACCAATGCATTGTAATCAGGTAATGATTAAGGAAATATTTATTACTCATTCATGACCGCGTATCTGTCATAATGCTGATAGACTAGATTTTCAATGATTAAAAACTTTTGAAGGAAATGCGAATGGCTATATCGACCTTGTTTTCAAAACACAAAGAAAGCGTGTTAAAAACTATAAGACAGTAGGCGGTCACTGCATATCCTGTTTGCAATTTCTTCCTGCAGTCGTGCGACAGGATAGCTCAATAAAACAGAAGATACAATGTTAAACAAAATGATAGCCGAACAGAAACAGAAAAAAATGATGCTTGCTTTGTCCACCTTTTAATTTATGTCTGCATCACTCAAAGGTTTGGCTGTCAGAGAATGCCCATGGCATTAAGCCCACCTTTTGTACACATTTTGGTGCATAAAACTTTTAAATAAAATAAGCATACTCACTTATGTTATATGTATATTACCTACATAAATAAAAGAATATTATAGTATGGTGGCTAACATAGGAACTACCAATTTACCTTGGTACTCTAATCCAGGAAATAGTGGACTTTAAAACATTTGTTTTAAAGTAGTTATCTGATTGCGTGTGGAACTCCATACAGAAGCAAAACAATATCAGTGTAGTTAATAGATATAGAATGAACCGGATATCACAGTACATAAAACATTATGTAGGTTCCTATCTTTCTAATTTAATCTACTTTTATCTATAACTTTAATAAAAATCTATTTACGTACGTAGCGAATGACAAATCCTTAAAGTAAAAAATACCAAAACATTTACTGACCACGGCTTCGCACGCGTATTAAAGTAATGTATCCTGGAATTTTAAAAACAGCAACGTTTGAAGCTTTGCTGTACTAAAATACGCAAATCAACCAGCATTTTCAAGGATTACTCCCTACAAAGAAACTTACATATACCTATTTCTCCCTAAGGTCATTTTTAAGATGGTGTAAGTTACAATATTATGAAGATCTTTTAAAAAAAATTCTTCATTACCTTTCCAGTGGAGAAAGTGGTGCCGGCAAAACAGAAAGTACGAAATTGTTACTTCAATATTTGGCCGCAGCCAGTGGCAAACATTCCTGGATTGAACAGCAAATCCAGGAGACCAACCCAATTCTTGAAGCTTTCGGTAATGCTAAAACTGTGAGGAACGACAACTCATCTAGATTTGGCAAATATGTGAACATCTATTTTAGTAAAAAAGGTATTATTGAAGGAGGAAACATTGAGCAGTATCTTCTGGAAAAATCTAGAATCGTCTTCCAAAACAAGGGTGAAAGAAACTATCACATTTTCTACTCTCTAGTCACTGGATTGTCAGCAGATGAAAAGAAAAGATTGGAATTAGGTCGACCAGAAGATTACAATTACTTGAATTCTGGAAAAATGTTGACCTGTGATGGACGCAATGATGGGTTAGAGTTCAACGACATTAGATCCGCTTTTAAAGTCCTAAACTTCCCTGACCATGAAGTTTGGGGAACTTTTAGTCTTCTAGCTGCCATTCTCCATTTAGGAAACTTAAAAATAAAATCGATTAGTTCGAACAATATGGAGGCATCTGAAATCCCTGACAGTACTGCTGCTAATAGGATTGCTAATCTTTTGGGAGTTAGTAAAGTGAAGCTATGTGAAGCTCTGACTAGGAAAACATTCGTGGCTCATGGAGAGAAAGTAGTTTCTCCATTAAACGCCTCTTCTGCGGTCGATGGCAGAGATGCGCTAGTAAAAGCTATATACGGTCATATTTTCGAATACATTGTCGAAATGATAAACAAAACACTGTTCAAAGAGCAACAAGTGACCAGCGGATCGGTGGGAATCTTAGACATTTTCGGATTTGAAAATTTCGACTTCAACAGCTTCGAACAATTATGTATTAATTACGCTAACGAGAACTTACAACAATTCTTTGTAAAACACATTTTCAAACTTGAACAAGAACAATATGCGAAAGAGGGCATTCAATGGACGAATATCAATTACGTGGATAATCAAGAGAATTTGGACGTGATAGGGTTGAAAGCAATGAATTTACTGTCTCTGATTGATGAAGAGTCTAGATTCCCCAAGGGAACTGATGTGACTTTGCTGTCTAAGTTGAACAGTAATCATAGCAACAAGAGCTGCTATATTACTGCTAAATCTTCAAGGGAGTATAAGTTTGGCATCAGACATTTTGCTGGAGATGTTTCGTATACAGTACAAGGTAAGTTTGGAACACGATATTCCTTCTACAAAGTGTATAAAGCTATATAAAAACATTTGTCGTTTTCTTTTCAGGTTTCCTCGACAAAAACAGAGACTTGTTAACTGCAGATGTAAAAGAAATGATGTTGGATTCAAGTAATGAATTTTTGAAGAATCTTTTCTTAACTGAATATTCTCCAACTCAAAGTGGGAGTAGGAAGACCGTCTCATTGAGTCACCAGTTTAAAACTTCTCTCGATTCTTTGATGAAAACTTTGTATGCTTGTCATCCGTTCTTTGTGAGATGCATTAAGCCTAATGAGTTCAAAAAACCAAAGGTAGGATTCAAACAAAAGCACCAAATAACTACTTATTTAAAAATAATACGTTATTAAATGTTAGGGATAATATTTAGTTTTAATTCCGCGACAAAAATTAAATATTATCCCTAACATTTAATGTCATTGATTTCCGCAAAGTAACGCCTGATTCTATAAATTATAATACGTTATGTTTTATTTTCCTGTAATCAATGGTGTTTCATTACAGGTCTTCGATAAAGCGCTGTGCGTCCGTCAACTACGATACGCTGGTCTAATGGAGACAGCAAAAATAAGACAAGCTGGCTACCCTATACGTTATGCCTACAAAGATTTCGTCCATCGATATCGGCTGGTCGCTCCGGGCATTCCACCAGCTGAGAAAACTGACTGTGTGAGCGCCGCGAAGAAAATCTGTGCCCACGTTTTCACTGACGATGACTACCGTTTTGGACACACGAAAGTATTCCTTAAAGATTATCACGATGCCCGTCTTGAAGAACTCAGGCATAAGGTGCTAATAACAGCAGTGATCAAAGTACAAGCGAATGCAAGAAGATTCATTTATAGAAACAGGTTCTTGAGACTACGAGCTGCTGCCATTCTGGTACAGAAGACATTCCGCGCTCGAGGGTACAGGAGTAGATACCTCATTATGAGACGAGGATACTCACGAATGCAAGCCGCTATCAGGTCAAGAGAACTGAGAAAGACCTTCATAAATATGAGAGTCTTCTTTAGAAAGATACAAGCATTCTGCAAGGGTTATCTCATAAGAAAATTGGTTAGAGAGAAAGGCCATGTAATTAAGGCAACATTGATTCAACTGGACAAGGAGAGGGCAGAACAAATAGCGTCTGGCAGAAGTGCGGAATCCGTGGGAGATAGTTACGAGAAGAAATACACTAATATGATGAGATCGATTTGGTTCTTGAAGGATGTGCCGTCGGATAACGTAGAACAAAATACTAGTGCAATAGATGACAGATATGTAGACGATGTCTTCGGTTTCCTTAAAGACTCGGCAACACCGGGAGGCACAGTCAGAGGCACTGGATTTGGAGTGGTAAGTGATAACCATTCTTAATATTTTCGTGATAAAATTGGGTTTTAATTGATTAATATTCCATTTTTCCAGACAACGACCGCCAAACCGGAGATTTCGTCGGTAATTCCGTTGCAAATGCAGGATATGGATGACGAACCATTCGATGAGTTTAACTTTAGAAAGTTTGCTGCTACATATTTCTTGGGAAATACTACCCATCAGTACTCCAGAAGGCCTTTGAAGCATCCACTTTTGGACTTACCATCGCCGGTGGACAAGATGGCAGCTCAGGCCTTGTGGATCACTATACTGCGGTTCATGGGTGATATGGCTGAACCGAAATATGTGGATGATAAGGTGGACAATGTGCCTGTTATGACCAAATTGGCTGATACTCTTGGAAGAGCTTTCCAGAAAAGCAAAGAATTTGATGTAAGTAAACATCAAAATATCGCAAACGACACATATCTTTCAAATGTTCAGATGTTAATACTATGTATTTTAACCGATTAAAATTATTTTTATCTGGTTTTTCATAAGCAGCTGCTTTTTGTCCAATGTAGGATCTCCAGCTAAACAGAAGATAATTTATTAAGCTGGACCGTTTTTATTGAATGTCTTTAATATTTGTTAGCTGATGTATGTAATTAATATATTTAATGTGGGTTTTCTAGGAATACTTGCAAAGAGATCTCTCAACAAATGACAGGACTAAACTCATATCGAGAACACTGAAACAGCGAACGAAATTAGATGAAGAATTTATGAAGAATCTGATGAATGATGAGGTTACCAGTGAAATGTACAGCACTTGGCTCAACTCCCGACGAAGCACCAACTTAGAGAAGTTACACTTTATCATTGGACATGGTATCATTAGGAAGGAGCTCAGGTAAGTTAAAAAGAACTCAGAAGTCTATCTGAAAATAGGTTAGTTTTCGATCTTTAGATAGATGTAAACTTCGATACTAAGCAGGAGATTTTACGTGGAAATGTTAGTAATAAACCTTTGTGGTATGTTACTGGACAACTGACAAACGATAAAAACTCAAATCTGCATCATTTTATTATTTTTAAGGTCTAAAATAAATTCAGCGTGATATCTTACAACAGTTAATTTATAATTACTCGCTTGCTAACCTATAATAATTTTTCTCATTACAGAGATGAGATATTCTGTCAGTTATGTAAACAGCTGACTAACAACCCGTCGAAGGCATCACACGCTCGTGGTTGGATTTTACTCTCACTCTGTGTCGGTTGCTTCCCGCCATCAGAAAAATTCGTAAAATACCTTCGCGCCTTCTTACGTGACGGCCCACCAGGATACGCCCCGTACTGCGAAGGTAGACTCGTAAGGACCTTCAAGAATGGACCACGTACACAACCGCCAAGCTGGCTTGAACTTCAAGCCACAAAAACCAAGAAACCAATTCTCTTAACTGTGACATTGATGGACGAATCCATGAAGACTGTCCAATCAGACTCCGCTTCAAATGCTGAAGAAATCTGCCAACAGATAGCTGAAAGTATAGGACTGACAGATTCATTCGGCTTCTCGTTATACATCACTTTATATGACAAAGTTCTATCCCTAGGCAGTGAGGCAGAACACATTCTAGATGCTATCTCACAATGCGAACAGTTCGCTAAAGAACAAGGAACGCCCGAAAAGAGTGCACCATGGAGACTATTTTTCAGAAAAGAAGTATTTACACCATGGCACAACCCTGCCGAAGATGCGGTAGCCACTAATCTTATATACCACCAAGTTACCAAAGGAGTTAAATACGGCGAGTACAGATGTAACTCAGAAAAAGATTTAGCTATGATCGCGGCTCAGCAACACTACGTTGAGTTCGGACCCACTATAGATCCCAACATTTTGAGAAGAGTTATTGTCAACTACATACCCAATCAGTTCCTCCAATCAAACGACGCCGCACTAACAAAATGGGAACACTTAGTAACTAAAGCATTCGAGAGCTCCTCAAGCATTCAAAGTAAAATAGATCCTCTAAGATGTAAGGAAGACATAGTGATATTTGCTAAATTGAAGTGGCCAATGCTGTTCTCAAGATTCTTCGAGGCTATTAAACTTAAAGGAGAGAACATCAACAAAGATTTAGTCATCATAGCAGTCAACTGGACTGGAATTTACATCGTAGATCAACAAGAACATATTCTTCTGGAAATATCTTACCCAGAAGTAACGTACGTCGCGTATAATGCAGATAAAGATTACGACAGCATTGGCAGAATTAGCATTAGGACAATACAACAAGAAGAATTTGAGTTCCAAAGTGTGGACGCTAGTGAAATGAGTTCGCTGATAATATACATGATAGATGGCTTAAAGAGAAGGTCAATTTATGTAGTCGCACAGTCTGACTTACAAGGCTACAGTGATGCCTCATCCTTCCTACAGTTTAAGAAAGGAGATCTGATTGTACTCTTGCAAGATTCTACGGGTGAGACCCTAACCAATACCACTTGGGGACATGGCGTTTGCAATGGCCAAGAGGGCTTGTTCCCAACCGAACAAGTCTACATATTACCAACACTAGAAATGCCATCCAACACCATTCTAGAAGTATTTAAGAAGGGCAACATAAATACCGAAAAGAAGAGCATTTCACAATACAATACTATTCAAAGAAAGAGAATGCACACACTCGAAAATTATGCGAAACAGCATTTCAGAGAAAATCATGATATCAATGCTACTTATTCTAGAAAATCAACGCTTACTACTGCCAAGAGGTCCGTTGCTGGCGATCTGTGGTGTCATACTAGAGAACCGCTAAGAAAGCCGTTATTGCAGAAACTAGTCGGTGATGAAAAGAGTTCCAAGGCAGCGGTATCGGCATTCTTTGGCATTCTCAAGTACATGGGAGATATGCCAGCTCCTAAAGCAAGAACTGTCACTGAATACACAGACGAAATATTTAAGACTGCTGTAAATGACCCTAATCTACGAGACGAAATATACTGTCAGATAATGAAACAGCTGACGAACAATAGAATACAACTGAGCGAAGAAAGAGGATGGGAACTGATGTGGTTGGTTACAGGAAACTTTGCATGTGGACAAACGCTTCTCAAAGAATTAGTAGACTTCCTCAAAACGCGACCGCACCCGATAGCCAAAGACTGTTTGAAACGCGTGTTCAAAACGCAAAAGAAGGGCGCTAGGTTATATCCACCATACATAGTGGAAGTTGAAGCTATACAGCATAGAAGTATGCAAATATACCATAAGGTCTACTTCCCCGACGACACTGATGAAGCTTTCGAAGTAGAATCCTCAACAAAAGCTAGAGACCTCTGCGAACAAATAACTGGAAGATTGAACCTTAAGAACAGTGATGGATTCAGCTTATTCGTCAAGATTGCTGACAAAGTGTTCTCGGTGCCAGAAAACTATTACTTCTTTGATTTCATTCATGAACTTGTAGAGTGGATGAAGGCAACGCGACCTGTACGAGGCGGTAAGTTTAATATCTTAATTGCAACCCATTTCTTTCGGTGTTTTTTTCTGAGATGTTCAGAGATCGAGTTTTCGAGTAAGCCCCGAAAAGACCGTAGAGAAAACCGCCAAAACATTGATATATTTTTTTAGCTTTTATAAGCTATTCATCATCTTCCTGCCCTTGTCCCGTTTTATTTGGGGTCGGTGCAATATGTTTTTTTCTTCCATTCTGTCCTGTCACTCGTCACGCTATCGCTAACTCCTCTGTCTTCCATATCACTTCTCGCACAATCCATCCATATTTTCTTTGGTCTCCCTCTCCCTCTCCATCCATCCACATTTATACTCATTTATACTCTTTTTTTGTAACACGCGTTTCATCCCTCCTTTTCCCATGGCCATACCAACGGTTCCCTTTCAACTTTTCAGTCACTGGCGCCACTTTTAAACTTCCTCTAATATTCTCATTTCTCACTTTAGTTTTTATTAGCTATTAAAATCAGTTAATAATCGAGAAGTTACGCAAATCCTCCTTATAACTTTATCTTAGCTAGTATTTTCTATCGTGCTTCAACTTCAAGTGATAAGAATGAAAATTGAAATAATATTTTCCTTGTCATCATTACAGGTGCACTAATGCAGATGAACTACCAAATATTCTTTATGAAGAAACTTTGGATCAATACAGTGCCAGGCAAAGATAAAAATGCAGACCAGATATTCTATTTCCCTCAAGAGTTGCCGAAGTACTTAAGAGGTTATCACAAGACTTCTAAACAGGATCTAGCAGAATTGGCAGCGTTGGTATACAGATCGAGATATGGCACCGACCAGACTATGCTTCCGCAAATCACTCAAATGCTCCAAGACTATATACCATCAGATATGATAAGAATCCAGAATAACTCTCAGTGGAAAGCAGCCATTCAGAAAGCCTACATGGAACAGGGTAGTATGACTGAAAATGAGGCGAAAGAACAGTTTTTGAAGAAAATCTACCTACTGCCTACGTTTGGTACTGCATTCTTTGAGGTTAAGCAAACATCTGACCCATCTTACCCAGAAATGGTCGTTATTGGAATCAACAGGAATGGAGTCTGTGTTATTCATCCGCAGAGTCGAGTAAGTATTTCCACTATGTAAAATTATCTGTATATGATTTGTTTACTTTTCACGGGTGACCAAGTTGGCCGAAATATTGCAAACGCGTCTGTCAAACAAGAAGTCTTGATTCAGACTTTCGTGGTTGCTAAAAGGCCTTTTATGGTAATAGATTTGCCGTCCGAGTCCCGTATTACTTCGAATCAAAAATAAATGTAGTTGTAATGCATGGTTTTTATTATTTCAGGACGTATTAGTCACACATCCGTTCTCTCAACTTTCCAACTGGTCGTCAGGAAACACATTCTTCCACATGACAATGGGCAATTTCTTGCGAGGAACTAAAATTCTATGCGAAACCTCTTTGGGCTACAAAATGGATGACCTCATTTCGTCCTATATCGCAGTTTTGAGAAAATATTTGAAGTAAATTAGAAGATCTTGGTTACTTGGAAGCTACATATCAGTTTTACCACCAGGTCTTACCTTGCCTTGAAATCTCGACAAGGGTTACTAGCTAGTAATAATATAGCCAAGTCCAAAATTACGTTACTATCTTTTTTCAAATTTTTGTTATAAATGTCGAGACTGTCGGCTTTGGAGGTACGACCATCAACAATGACCTACCTACCTAAATCATGAGCCGTTTTTTTTTATGTGACAAAAATGTTCTTGTTTGTCGGACTCAATGGATGCAAGAGATTCTTTTCGCATCACTTCTAAACTTGGTGATAATGGTTCAAAGCATTATGAGTTCATTTATAATAAGATTCCAATGAAACTGTATATTATTAACATGAGACAGATAGGTAGTAAGATCTACCTATCTGTCTTAGTTGATAGTTCTAGTAGTATGAAGCTATAAATAATATGTACGTTACATTAATGTAAAATATGTTTGTAAAAAATATACCTAGTATTTATGTATTTTTATTTTGTGAGTTTTCATTGCACATCATAGTACGAAGTTGATGAAGAGATTTCAGGTTTGAATGCCTCTATGGATCTTCAGAACTATTCTAATTGGACATTATTTGTAGTTCATATTAAAAAGCTCTGTTAAAAAATAATATTTTCATTCTGCCCACTATCATAAGCTATTTAGGATCTGCTCCGTATGTATCATCTGCATATAATATAAAACTTAGTAGTAAAATGTGTAGCTACTAGCTACTAAGCACAAATCTCAAGAACAGTTGAACCGATTTCAATAAATCTTTGTTATTCTCGAACCCGAAGCCCAAACGAAACCGAACCCACGGGCATAAGTTTGTTGATGAAAATGTTAGATAATAATACTACTAAGTTCTTAGATGTTATCGTATTGTGACAATTCGCCTCCTTTCTGTTTCATCATCATCATCATCATCATCACTCTCACGGCCTCTTCTCACACAGAGAAGGTTTGTTCATTAATCACCACGCTTGCTCAATGCGGGTTGGCGATTTCAAACTTATAATTAAAAATTATAAGTCCAGGTTTCCTCACGATGTTTAGCTTCACCATATGTCAGTGGTGTCTAAATAATCATAGAAAGAACATATAACTGGGAAAAAGTGACATTGGTACTTGCCAGGTTTCGAACCCGCACCCTCGTGCATGTGAAACGGGCGCCTTAACCTCCAGGCCACCATGACATTCTACCTTCCTTTCTGTTTATTCGATTATATTATAGTAACCCACTAGATCAGTTATCACTACAAATCTTAAACAAACGATGTAAAAAGCTGGCCACCACGTGCTACAATAATTATGTACACAAGACTGAGGATAACATCAAGAAAAACCCCAAATATTTTTATACATATTTAAAAGACAAACGTAGTACTGCAGTCCAAATACCGCAAACGATGACTCTAAATAACACAAGTTTGTCTGACGGACCAGGTATATGTGACTTGTTTGCATCTTACTTTTCTTCAACGTTCATTGATACTTCCAATCAAGATACACCAACAATTGATATCAAGTCAAACATAGAGTACATTGGAGAAATACATATTACACAAAATAGCATATTGAAGCACTTAAAGGGGATTGATATTCATAAAGGGGCAGGCTCGGACGGCATGTCCCCATATTTCGTTTCAAGATGTGCCTCTGCTTTAAGTTTACCGCTCTTCCTAATTATGAACAAATCTTTGTAAACTGGTATTTTTCCAAGTTCGTGGAAAACAGCTAAAGTGGTTCCTATTTATAAAAACGGTGATAAAGCTAACGTGTCAAATTATAGACCAATTTCAATCTTGTCTGTTTTTGCTAAATCTTTTGAAGCTCTAATTTATCCGTATTTGAAGAACCATACTAATCAAATTTTTGTCAACGAGCAACACGGATTTATCGGATCACGTTCAACAAATACCAATTTAGTTACATACCACAATGAACTGGTGAATGCAGTTGATGCAGGTGCTCAAGTTTGTGCTGTCTATATGGACTTTGCGAAAGCGTTCGACAGAGTATGTCACAGGGTGTTACTAGAGAAGTTAGATTTATATGGCGTAGGTGGTTCACTTTTAAAATGGTTTCAGTCCTACTTATCCAACAGAAAACTATATGTAGTAGTTAAGGGCTTGAAATCTGAGAAGTTTACAGCGTCATCAGGTGTACCCCAGGGTTCTCATTTGGGACCCTGGCTTTTCAATCTATTTATTAATGATATTGTCTCTTGCATTAAACATAGCAGCGCTTACCTCTTTGCTGACGATTTAAAACTATGTAAAACTGTAACAGGAGCAATAAATGCTTCTCTGTCACTTTCACGCGTAACCATAAAATAATTGAGACTCAATATTATATCGATGGAGTACTACTTAAAGAAAAATCAGAATTAAGGGATTTAGGTGTTATTTTTGATTCAAAATTAACATTCTTACCACACTTAGATAACATAATTAAAAAGTCCTCCAAAATGTTAGGCTTTATCATTAGAAATGGTAAGTTATTCCGCAGGCCAGCTACAAAAATAGCGATCTACAATGCTTACGTGCGCAGTAATTTGGAGTATTGTAGCGTGGTCTGGTCACCACAATATAACGTACATCAGCTAAGAATAGAACGCATTTAGAAACGATTCTTGAGGCAACTTGCTTATTCATGTAGACTGCACAAACAACTTCGTTCGTATAATGACAAACTAAAACATTTCGCCATGATTAGTTTATTTACTCGCAGACGATTATAGGACATGACATTCCTTTATAAAATACTAAGAAATGAACTTGATAGTCCATCGCTACTAAGTTCTTTCGGTTTTCGTGTTCCACGCCGCTTACCTAGGCGCGCTCAGCTTGGCATGGGATTGTTGCACCAGCCACCAGCTAGAACAAATCTTAAACAATTCTCTGCCGTGTCTCGACTTGCAAAAACATACAACAGTCTCAGTGATGAAGTGGATATCTTCAGTGATACATTACCGGTATTTAAAAAAAATGTGTTGGGGATTTTTGGGAGGACTGAATTCCAATAAACTTTGTTTAAATAAAAAAAAATGTTTTTGTTTTATAAATAAGTACTTATTTTATTTTAATTTAATTTAGAATCGTAATTTTTGCAATTTCTATCTTATTACTCTTCCTACTATTTTAAGTTATATTCTTCTTTATTAATTATTTTTTGTGTCACTACGAAATATTTTGTGCATGTTGTTACACCTTAAAATGCTGTACATTTAATTTTATTATAGTGTATTTAATGTTTAGATGTAAGAAATAATGTAGCAGCTACTGGTTGTCCATAATTCAATAAATAAATAAATAAATAGCACTTTTCCGCTTCGAGCCGAAATCAGAATATTTATATACTAATGCATATAGGTAATTTGTTATTTTCACATCACTCTTATGTGTGAACTTCACACATCAATAAAGTTTGAGTTCGTATTCATTATAATTTATCAGACTGAAAAGTGCGGTATCCAGATATCATTATTTGTATGACTTATGTCAAAAAAGTTAATGTCAGTTGGAAATAAATAATGGTGTGCGAATTGAATTTTATGACTTGTTTTTATAGTTACTGCAGAACAATACATATTTATTTGCTGTGTTAGCTTTAAGAAATATTAAATTACAAGTGCCTGCAAACTTGGTGCGACCAGTGTCTTATAACAGCAAAATGAGTGCAGATAAATTGAGTTTTATGTTAGAAAGTGGTCTTGATTTAAGGTACGTATATTAAACTTCGTTATAAAAATACTTACTTATTTATTAAAATACAAATTTGTATGCCGCTAGTGATAATCGTTGACCCAAGTGCTCTGGATTTATATAACACATATGCTTACAGAGATATTAAATAAAAATAATGTTCCTTACTCCAGTTTTAAACTTTTACACTCATTTTATTATAACATTTTAGGGAGGTTGTAACTACAGGATCAATTCTACATATCAACCAAGAATTTGACGATGACGATTTAAAAGCGGAAGAAAACAACGATGATTTGACACCACAAGTTGATGTTCTTGGCAAGCCAGTGCCAAATTTTGCTACATTCTCGGAAAAATTGGAGGCCATCAAAGAAACTGAATATGTCAAAAAGAAAATAATTATTGAAGGAGGTGGTCTACCTCTACATGAAGGTTGTACTGTGTCTATTGCCTACTCTGGTTATTGGGAAAACCAACAAGAGCCATTTGACGTGGTTCCTTTAAAAAAACCAATGGTTAGTTGGAGGATTTATTTTTCATATACCCTCTATTTGCTTTGACAATGGTGAAGACAACAAACTTCAATTTTAATATTTATACACAAGATATAGAGTTGCTATTAGTTAAGTATGCCTTGTGTTGTCACAATACATAATAGACATAGTTAGTTAAACTTAATATTACTGCCTTATAATATTAGTTGTCATCATCATCATCAGCCTGTAAGTGCCCACCGCTGAGCAAAGGCCTCTTCTCCCACGGAGAAGATTTGAGCATTACTCACCACCCTTGCTCTAGGCAGATTGGCGATTTTAAACTTCTAATTAGAAATTATAAGTTTGAAACTTATAATTAGAAGTTTGAAATCACCAATTTGCCATTGTTGTAACTTCCATCTAAATCTAAATTTTAAATAAACCCCTGAAAGCCTAAGCCCAATTGTCTTTAGAAAAAAAAACACATGTTTCAACACTTGTTTAATTTATATGTTTTATTTTTTATAGGAAGTTGATTTAAATGACAATGGTCTACTACCTGGCTTACAGTTTGCATTAAAAACTATGCTGGTTGGAGAAACATCAGTTTTTTTATGCTCATACAAAGTAATGTATGGAGAGATGGGAGTTCCGCCTAGAATCAAACCTAAGGCAGACTGTGTATTCTATATCAAACTAATTAAAAGCACTTTAACTCCAAAACAAGGGTAAGTGATAAATAAATAACTTTGTATTTACCTATAAATGAAAGCATTTGCATGGGGTTTGATGAATTAATTAATCTTGTCATACTATGGTGAATAAATTTATCTTGTCTCAAATTACTACAATTTTATTAAAAGGTTTAATTTCATATACATATGTTTTTATTATATTTATGAAATCATACAGTTCATAATTCATTTGGGGAGAGAAGGTATGGCCGTGACCTAGTGCACCATATAATAAGAACCACATCTTCAGTCTGATCCCAAAAAATTTGACTATACGGTTGGCGCGATGGCTGGACAACTGGCTGCCGCGCCACGTGTCGCGGGTTCGATTCCCGCACGGAACAACTCTTTGTGTGATCCACAAACTGTTGTTCTGGGTCTGGGTGTAATGTGTATGTGAAATTGTATTTTTGTAACCGCATCCAAAATACAAGAGAAAATCCTAGCGTGGGGCAAAGCTTGTATAAAAAAGAAAAAAAATATAAATATTCATTGATGCATTTTTTTCTTTACAGCAAGATTAACTTCTCCGAATCAAATATGTTTGAAAGGGTCAATCATGAAGTTAAATTGTTAATAGTCTCAGGAACTTCATTATTTAAAACAAATAATTACTATGCAGCCATTCAACTGTTTAAAAGGGCAGTCAATATGCTACATCGTTGCCGACTTGCAGACGAGAAGGAAGAAGCAGTCCAAGAAAAATTGCTAAAAAAGTTGTATATTAACCTGGTTGTATGTTACAATAAGGTCAAAAAACCTCTACTTGCATGCACTGCCTGTAACGAATTGAATAGACTCGGCAGCTTATGGAACAATCCGAAAGTGCTGTTTCAAAATGCCAAATCTCTCAGAATGATTAAAAGTTATGCCGAAGCACAGGTAAGACTTAAAAAGGCAATGAAATTGCAACCAGGAAATGATGAAATGAAAGCAGAATATGCCTTGCTAATGAAACAGTGGCAGGATAGTGAGGAAGCCAGAAAATGTATTGAAGTTATCCAACCGCCTGCAACAATCACTGATGAATTTAAAAAAGAAGTAGATGATCTCATTCGTAATTTCAAAAGTAACGATGAAGAAGATACGCTAACAATACCTTCATGCTTCAATTCAGATGAGATTGCTTATTTCAAAGAAGTTTGCATTAGAGAAAATCTTTTTTTCAATAAACGTCTTAGTACTGAAACCACCCATCACGAAAATGCTGAAACTAGTGAAGCATGCTCAGAGTCAAGTGATTATGTGTTGCAAAAATCAGAAACAAGATAATATACCTTTTTTATATTTTGTTAGATTAAGCAAAAGAACGACAATTATATTATTTTCTATATTTAGATTTTGTCTCATTATTTCAAAACTTATTCCTAGAAAAACAGTTAAAGTAGGTACAATGAGTTGTACTAATGAGTATGAGCATGAGCTTTAGTCCAGACCTCATTGGTCATTGTGGTTGTCGATTATTGAAATTATCATTAGCCAGTATGAGCTATCGAATTGTACCGATTGCTATACCCGCCAATGGTTTATATTGTTTTCTTGAGGGGAGGGGAAAATCATTAAATAACTTCTTCCTCTTTGGGTGGGGCGAGGAGTGTTAGGCTTTTACTGCCGCTAAAACCTAATGTAATTGCAGCTGCAATGGAGGCCCCACATCAGATATCTAGCAGGTCGATTAAGTTTTGCAGCTTATGCTAACTGACGTAGGTACCTATCTAAGCACGACAACAATAGTACCTACAGGTACCTACTTCCGCTACTTTCAGAACAACATGTTTAGAATCTCTGATCCATCTTTATCTTACTGAAGCGTACCTACCGACAGAGCTATCAATCTACAAATTAGGTCAGATAGGTAGGTATTAGGTAGGAGACAAACCTAGTTACCTATTAGTTCAAGTATCTGAGAAACAAACATACCTAACTAGCAAACTATACATAAAGATAGATTGAATCAGCCTTTATTCATATGATGAGCAAAAGTAGGTACTTGCACAAGTCTCATGCATGTTAGGTATAGATCTACACCAACATCCCAGGCGATAACTTAATGAAAGTAAATATACCTTTCCTACCTTAAATTAGGTAGATTTGACTAAATGAATAAAACTATGTACACAAAGATATTACAAACTAATTTATTATAATATATATATGTAGAGGTAAAAATGCTTGAAGCTGGCTGGCTGGTCCTGCTACATAGGAATAATATTCACGAAAATTATTTATTTTTACATAAATTGAAGGATACCTACGCCATGTTGGTCATTTTGTTGTTGACTGCCTAGGTGGTACCTATTTTTACTTACTACAGTAGGTACCTAGTACCTACCTAAAAACTCCAAACCAACCTAAACGAGTAGGTACTCGTTTAGGTTGGTTTTCGTTTTTTTTTAGATTTTCTTTTTCGAAATCTCTGTCTAAATATTAGTGTTGCACTGTTCTCATAATTAGGTATAATGGAACCAATTAAATGATGTAACAAATAATTGAATTGTGAACTATATAGTGATTGAAAAAAACTATCATAAGCTTCTTCGTTTTCCTCCATAGGAATCTACACTTTGGAACGACCTATTGTTTGATGTACAATACAAGTGCATACCTATAGCAGTTTAAGTATTTGAAATAAGGAAATGATTTCAATAAACGTGTTGACTTTGTACCTACCATTAAACGGGATTTTGGGATATTGTTCTAGAATTCTCTATTTTTGGTATCTACTTTGTTCGTATTATAAGAGTATGATTTGAACTTACCTCTACCAAAGCCCACCCAAGTCAACAATAGAGTGACCTTAGTCGGAAAATTGCTCAAATGTGAAAACATCAATAAATTAAAAAGAAACTAGTCTCTCGGGAAGATGATGTGTAATAAAAATACCTTATATTTGATTAGGATCACTAGAATTGAAATAAAACGTAACATTCAACAAAATTATATTTTAATGCGTAATTACAATTTTTCATAAAACTAATATGGACTACTATCTATTGGCGCAACCATACCATTGACTCAACAAATGCAACATTCTTAAACATTTATTAGTTTTTTAAATACAAATGCATTATACAGAACCCATCCCGATATTGTAGTGAACACGTCCAGCGTTATTTTAAAAGCAGATTAGTTCTGTGTGGGAAGATTTAAAAGAACATTTTGACCCTGTGGTAGGTAAGTAACGTTGCGGGATTTAGATAGTTGGTAGGCGATGTCTTCAGCGGCTTCAATACGACGGAGTTCAACTAAACCTTCACCAGCTGTGCCGAAGGACTTGGCGAGGAGAATAGCAGCTTGGGCGTCACCCTCAGCGGCAATGACAGCAGCTTTCTTCTGTTGTTCAGCCTTTTCTACGAGGAATCTCGCCTTCTCAGCCTCTTGTTGCGCGACCTGTTTCAACTCGACGGCTTGTGTGAACTCCTTGCCGAATGTCAAGTGTGTAATTGAAATGTCGTCTAAGATAAGGCCGAACTGTGCTGCTCTCTCAGTCAAACTCTCGTTCACTTTTTGTGACACAACCTGTAGAAGAGAAACTTTACTTAAATTGCTTTCAAGGAAACTATTATTTAGTTGCAAAGCGAACACTATGAAAATGTAAATCAATCATTGCTTTTTACAATAAAATGACGTTTATAGTTTTTTTAAGTGATTCACAATAAGTTGTTTCTAAATAAGAATTGAATTCAAATACAATAACACAGGAGACCCAAAATGAAATATTAAAATCTTCCAAAAAAATTCATCATCTTTTTATGAAATATTTCCAGAGTGGTTGCAACAAGGCCTATCTGACGTAGCAACTATTAATTAATCATATAAGTTTTAAGATATCACTAAATAGTATAAAACAAAGTCGTTTTTTCTCTCCCTACATCACTTTGTATGCTATTTTTAAAACTACGGAACAGATTTTGATGCGGCTTTTTATGATAGATAGCGTGATTGAAGAGGAAGGCTAACATGTAAAATAACATCCATTAAATAGGGAGTAAATTTTGTGTTGGTAAGCACATATGCTCAATAACGCCTTGACTAATTTTGACAATGTTATGTTTGTCATAGTCAAGAGGTTTTTAGAAAGACATAAATTAAAAAATAATAATATAGAGGGTTAAAATAATCGTGAAAATAATTGTGCCCTTGCAAAAGAGGGGCAGGCCGCTAATATTGAAATAAAATGATACCTCACCTCTCTCTGTGTAATGAGTTCTCCAGCATCAAACTGTGCAACAACAGCCTTCAGAACTTCAGCAGTAATAGATGGCAACACTCTCTCATCATAGTCTACACCAAGGATGGTGTAAATTCTCGGCAGCTGGTCAGGAATTGGTCTGAACAGGATACGGAGTGTGATGTTTACATTTTGGAGATCTGAAAACATTTAAATAAGTATTAGAGTTTTTGTAATATAAAAATATTATTTAAAAAAAAGGACAACTTCATAACATAATTTTGTGAAAATAATGCTTGGTTTTGGAAATATCGCTAAAAACTTTATCTATTAAAGTAATATGTTAAAAATAAATTATATTATTGGGTTTAAAAAGTATAAATATTATCGAAGAAACATAAGACAACATATTTCCTATTGCAAATCATACACTGGCAACTGACAGATTTGAAAACACTTACATAATGTTAGAGCATTTTTATTTAAAGTTACTACATAGTATAAAACAGTTGCTTTCAGTATCCCTGGCTCTATGAATGCTTAAATCTTTAAAACTACACATGTGATTGCAGAGGAAGGTTTTATGCATAATAACATCATGCAACATGTGTAGTAGCTTTCGTGCATAGCCAAGCCGGGATGTTTGGTGTCTTGTCATTAAAAGATATGTTCATTGCTGAAATAAACTGTAAACATAATTTAGGTATGACATAAATATATAGCCACTGTACCTTTACTTCCAGTGACAGTAGGAACGTTTCTAGGGCGAGATCTAATGTCAAAGATGATAGGTCTCTGCACCCACGGCACAAAGAAGTGGGTACCCTCACCAACCACCAAGTTTTTGACACCAGCAAATCTGTCGAAGATCACGGCCCTGTGACCACCATCAACTGGAAATGAAATAATTAGAATTATCATTCTTATTTAAAGAATACTGAAAAAGTAAATAAATGGTGAATGTGTAATGTAATAGGTCTCTTCGAGAAACTGAAGGAAGTCTGCAATCGACGGTTATCCATACTCTTATAACCAAATATTCTTATTAGGTTCTTTTTTTCTTTGGTTTAACAAATATTTGTCTATTTAGCTTAATCACTAAGTAAATATTTATGTGTACACTATTAAGGATGTAAACAAAACACTTTTAAGATTAAATGCTAAGCTGAAGATGTATAATCCTTTTGAAATCAGTATTTACCGTTGTAAAGGGCAGAATTCACGACACCTCCAACCAGCGCCACACCGAGGCCCACTTGACCAATTCTGTTGAAGAGCTGAGCAGCCATTTCTAGAAATAAATACAAAAATATTAAAATAATACTTGAAATATTATGAATCAATGTGTAATTTCCGATTGCGGCTCCAATTGGGATTATTGCAGCATCTGAACTGTCATTAACATCATACGATTCTGAAGATTCAATTATAACTTCAATATGTTTTACATAAATTAGATACAGTATAAAATATTTGATGACTAACATATGCAGTTATCAAGCCCGAACAGTTACCAAAATTCATTCACAAACCTAGAAAATTATCTAATTGCACGGTATGTTATCTAACCTCAAATATATTTCGGTATAGAAATTTTGGGTTTCTATGTAAGTATTTACTATGAACTCTCTATTTAGGCTTACCTTTTTATTTTTTGGAAACTTTCTTACAATGTTAATAGTATATATTTTATTTTATAGTAAAATCCTGTCTCAAATTCAATCTAAAATCAGCGAGACGAAGCACAGATAAAAACTAGTTAACATGCTTGTTTCGTTCGCTGTAGTTTTAGATATAATAAAACGTTCACTTCTTATTGAAAGTGGAAGATAATAACACTATATTATTTAAATCACTTTATTTAGGAAGCTCTTACACAATATATTTTTATTTGTTCCGGTAATAATGCTGTATACTTTTTTATTTTATATATCGACATTTCGACTTCCACATTAGGATAAACTAAACGTAGTTTTTATTCTCTCCTGATGAAAAGTTAATAGCAATTAAAATGTGCCTGTATGTAATACTACGAAAAATTTTTGTAAGGAGGTTTCAGTTATTCTGTTATTTATTTAATTTTAATAAAGCAAACTGATCGTCTTTGTTTTCTTGATGTTTTAATTTAAGATAATAATAGGAGAACATTTTAAATTATCTAATAATTATTAAAATATTGTATTATATTAATAGGAAGTAGTGAACACTCCCTATTATTATATTAATATATGCAATTGAAAGATAATGAAACACTACTTGCATATCATTCACTATGATTTTTATTAAAATTAAAAACCAGAGACAGTAGCATTGAAACTTACACACATAAAAATATTAATTATTAATTTTTACAATTTAGTAGATTAATGGTTCTGTTCACCTAAATGCGAGATCTGATATACCTGATACGAAAATCTTTTAATTTCACCAGAAAGATATTTATTGAAATTAAAGATGAGCATAGGGCAGTACACCAGACCAGCATGCAGTTTTTAATGATAAGTGCCTGTTAGTGGTATAATAGCAATCTGCTTCATAGTCATTACATTCTTGGCAGTGATCGTGGCTGGCGATGGATAGGTTGCACCATACCGTCCTCCTTGCTTTCCAGAGTACCTAGCACGTAGAGAGACTTCGCTTAATGTGATGTCTCTCCACTTTTGTCGTCTTTGAGCGCTGCGAGTACACTGTACTACGGTCGACTTCAATAAGGGTAATGGAAAAATCTGATCATTACGGTCGTGTGGGCACCGACCCACAGTACTTACTGTTGCATTAGTTATATCAGCAAACAAACCACTAATGCCGTTAACTGACTGGAAGCAGATGGTAATTGAACGAAAAATAAACAATGAGGGGATAATTGAACGACTTTGTTGGGGGTCGAGTTGTGGGTGGCTCAATTATGCAATAAATAGCAATGAGCAAATTATTGAATGAAGTAGTTGCAATATTTATGATTAAACTCGTGCTAATCAACCATGTTGACTTATTACGTGTCCTTAGAAAAAAAAAACACTTCGGGTAATTTAATTAAAACAACATTGTCGATTTGTTTACATTATAAAGTCATTGAACTTAACTGACATTGTAAACGTATTATAGATGTTGACTTATTTGGTAGATAGTGCATTCATAATTGTAAATAAATGCATAATAATAGTTCTATTTGCACAGCAGAACGTGTCGCGAGTCTGTTCTATATTTTATTGCATAATTTTATTTAAATTTAAAAAACAGCTTTATCTGTGACTTTTTAAAATGAAAATGAAAGTGCCAGAAGTGAAACGATGCTGTTGCTGCGTTCCTTTGCGACATGGAATTATTTTATTTGGTTTGATTAATATAGTAAGTACCTACATATGTTTAGGTAAAACGGCGAAACCCTCTTTGAGGAGTGGTTTGAGACATGCCATGTCGTCTTCACTTTCCGCCTGAAGCAGAAGCTTACCGGGCGGATTTCGGATCCGGCGGTAGGAAACGCCTGGGTGTCGTCATTGTGTGGACCACCCAGGGGACAGCAATGCGAAGGCAAGCAATGGTAGCTCGCTGCCCAAACAGAACCAGAAGAGGAGCTAGTACGCGAGCGTACCGCGGCCTCGGCTTAAAGCAGGAGAAGGAATGGGGGGTTTTTAGTCATTAAGAGTGTGACATTCCCTCTTGTCGACATTTCCCATAACAGAAAAACTAGATTGGGGAAGTATTGGAATGCAGGTCGCTGTTTAACGGCCGCTCTGAATGTTGTAGGGGTGGCCGCTGTTCAATTATATCGACTTTCTTTTATGGATTAACACAAGAGTACTTGAAACTCCCTATTTGTTTCTGACGACTGTGATTCTTTGACTGGGCACTAAATTAAGTGTGGGGCGTTGCTTAGTAGGTACATAAATAGATATCACCTTTTTTGTTTTAAGACCGTAGGATTCAAATTGCAAAAAGGCGTGTGTGTAGTTCGATAGCCACGGTTATGCCTTCTTTGAGGGGAAAAATCATCAATTGACTTCAATGGAGTATCACAGAATGTTTCTTACTAAAAAAAGTACTCAGTTCCTTCTTCTCCAGGCCTTGGTCGCGGTATGTTATTGGGCTTGACCCGCAACCTTGGTGGTTATGCCTGAGTTCTGAGCTTGTATCAGCAGGCCCTTTTAGCATGACTTTTTGACAAGAATGATTGTGGTCCCAAGCTGATAATGTTTTTTTGTTTACAGATATTCTCAATGCTAGCAGTAACCAGTCTCGTGATTACAACCGAACTGAAGAAATCAAAATTGCTCGATGGTTCTTCTTTAGAAGTTGTTACTTCAACAATTTTGTTCAGCATCTTCGGAATGAGTGTCATATTAAATATTATGCTCCTCTTTGCTGGCTGTCAGGTGAGCGATATGAACTATATTTTTGTACTGGTGATCATTTTGATATATTTATAACTCTCGAATATTAAGGTCAAAGAGTATAAGTAAGCACTTCTCATGAATGACGATAGGGCTGGCTTTAAAACCTGACAAGTAAAAAGTAACTTATTCCGATATGTACCTACTTTTTAAGTTTATAGAAACACCCCTGAGATACGGTAAAAAGACCGCGAGGAAACCTTGGGTAATTGCACCTTAAGCAGAGAACACTTATAGGCTCATGACTTGATTCCTCCCTCAAAAGACATTATCAGTTACCACATTGGGCATTTCTAAGTGTTTTTGCTTAGACTAAATCGTGCAGTCCTTTGAAATAGGTTAATATGAATGAGTATAGTGACTTCTTAAGATAACCTTATGCACTATAATGCAGTGAGTGATAGATCGATATTTAGGTACCTACTTGCATACAAAGTACACTGTGCAAACAAATGTCAATCAAAAGTTTTGGAAGCGGTTTTCTGGAAACGGAAATCGAAAAAACACTACACTTATGGTTTTTGATGTTGGGATGTGGGTATCTACATAGTTATGTATACTTATCAGTTTTATTTAGACTTTTATTGAGAAAGTTTATCCTTCATTAGAATTGTCTCCCATATTCGGGTGTATACGAACAAATCACGATAACGTATCTCACTTAGAGACAAAAATATAGCACTTAGCAGCTAGTCGCCTTGCCACTGCGTTGTCACCAGTGAAAAATAATATTAAGAGGGTAATTTCTTTTTTCGAAATATCAAAAGCTATTTTGAATCAACTTTAAGAGATATTGCATTATAACGTCACTATATTTTGCGTCAATTTTCGTACGTAATCTACTTTACTAGAAAAATATAAAAGTCAAATGAAAAATCTGGTTCAAAACATCTGTACGCAGCTAACTGTAGTAGATTATCTACACAGTTTCCATCCACCACCAGAAATTAGGTTTTTTTGTGGATAAAAATTCTCCAATGATTTGAGTCTCAGTGTCTTAGTTCTTTCTTGGGAGGCGGACATCATGGCCCTTTACCCACAACAGTAAAGTTAGGCCCCATTTACGCATAGGCGATGCGTTTGCGCAGCGTCATGCGGTTCGTCATTAATATACTTATTGCTTTTACGCATAGGTATTGTACAGGTGCAATGCAGATAGATACTAGTGGAGAAATTTATCTCCACTATTTGAATGAGGTCACTATACATATAAATCTTCTTCTTTGATTATTCTATCTACTAAAAAATACATAGCAAAATCCGTTTCGTAGTTTTAAAGATTTAAGGTTATCTAGATACATATGCAATATTAGACACAGAGACTTTATTTTATACTAGGTATGTATATAGTGTTTTGCGCGGGCGATGCCGCGGTCTGTTTCTGCAATGTATGACAACCGCCACGCCGCGCTATGCCGCGCGTTTGCGTAAACGAGGCCTATAAGCGCGTCATCGCCTAAAAGCTTACAAATATTTTCAGAAAGATGTGTTGATGCTGCGATTGTATCTGTACTACGGAGTGGTGACTACACTGGCTGCTCTGGTGCCCACATTCATCCTGGCGTCCCGAATGATGACGTACGATGTGTGCGTGGCTTTATTTGCTATATGTAAGTATTTATGTTTGACAATCAATTAAGTACTTAATCTAATAATAATGGGGAGCTTGACGCGGTGGCTAGGCAATCGGCTGCCGTACAACGTGTCGCCGGTTCTTTTCCCACCCGGAACAACTCTTTGTGCCTCTGTCTGGGTGTCATGTGCATGTGAAACTGTATGTTTGTTTACGATTTTTGTTAAAATAATACAGATATAAGTATATCTATTTCTGAGAATTTATATTTACCTAATATTATTCAGTAACACAGAAGTAGGTGTGGCAGTTTAAGGGATATCCTGTGCTGTGTGTATCTAGATAGATAGCAAATTATTTTTTTACTTCATGTTGATTGCTACGTTTATTTTTTCATTGTTCGTACCTATATTTTTTGATTACCTATCATTTATTGTTGAAATAATTTTCCAATAATGCCACCCAATTCTAAGTCTTCACTTCCAACAATAATTTGAACTTGAAGAAGCTGTGCATTTTTAAGTGACAAAACAATACATGGAATCACTCACTTCCTTATAGGTAGTATTAGTTGTAAATAAAATATATTTAAATTTTATTACTGAGTCAACATACACTACTCTAGTAGGAAATGAATAAATTCTTACTACCCATAGATATTTTATAAATGTGTGAATTGTTATTGGTAGTCACGCACGATGACAGTACCTAATTGTAGCCTGACATTCCTGTTTACCCCTACAAATAAAAGAAAGTATGATACGTGACCCCACATACTGAGTTTTGTAAAACGTTTAACGTTATCTTTCAGAATATTTCTAGTGTTTTATGTAGTTTTTGAATAAATTCTGTCAAGCCGATGCCGCCATTTTTATGGTGGATTTGATATAGGATTTGCAAGATTATTCACATTAGATTATTACGTAGTATTACGAGTAACTTCGTATGCATGAAGATGTGGGCTCTAAACTTCACAAGTATCAATGATGTGGCACCGCGGCCTCAGCCTAAAGCAGGAGAAGGAACAGGGGAGTTGTTAGTCAGTAAGAGTCTGACACTCTCTCTCCCCTCACTCTGGGCCGGAGAAGTCTTTTGATGAATTTACCTTGACTAAAAAACCAACCAATGCAATGTACCTGTTTCCAAGTTGTATGTAGGTACATTCTAAGGTAATTAAGGTGTCGAAATAATATATTGACTTAAGGAGCATATTTATAAACTTACAATCTAAACTAAAACTAAAGATGAAGGAATCGAAAAAAAAATTAAGTAGTACCTACTAGGTCAGGGCTGGAATCTAAGACCGCTGACTTGATAAGTACGATGCTTGTGATTATTCGACCAATGAAGCATTCGGTATAGACTTCGGCCCTATAGCTGAATCAAGCAAATATCACTTTGCATGCCAATATGCTCATCTCCCGCTACTTGGCCCTAATATATTAAGGTCGAAAGTTCTTTTATACTATTCAACCTTGATGTACTTATTACTAGACATATTATGTTAAGTGCATTTGTTTAATTCATGTTACAGGTATGCAATGGTACGTCATCATTCTAGTACGAAGTGAGATTGTGAAGCTGGAACAAGCAAGTTTGAGGGCAGAAAACAGCAGCCTAGTCCATGAAGTTACCATCGATGTGCCCGACAGAGAAACCTTACTTTAATTCATTAGATAAATGTTATTTTTGTAAATAAAGTTTGTACTTTGTTAAATTAGATTTAATGAAATGTTCAACACTGTTTATCTGTTATACTTAGAGACATTTCATAATTATATTAGTTTTACTTAGTAACGGTTTTCTTGCGAAAACACTGTATGCGCGTGCCTTTAAGAGCCAACAGGCCTCAGCAGATGTGGCCCAACAATAGGCTGATGTTTAGCTGGGGTTGCGGGTCGGCTTGGAGTAGGAGTGGCCTGATACTAGGTGATTTTTTATTTTATAAGAGTCTTATACTCCTCGCCCATAAAATACCCGTAAAAAAGGCGATCTACATTTTGAATAAAAACAGGCTAATTGGACGTGTTTACATTTTAATAATAAAAGGTGTGTGTGTAAGGGATGGTTTTTTTTGTAATACACTAAATAATAACACAACAAAATCAGAAAATGACGTAACATACAATCGTTCCTGTTCAGTAGCAACTCAAGGAACACCAATAAACTTCTTGGGCAACATAAAATTATTTCAAAGTAGCCGCTCTTTGTTCAGAGATCACGTTCACGGTAATGATGCCGTCAAATTATTATAAGAAATGTGCTAAAATATTTCCAAATTTTCATGTGGCGCACAGGTGGGTGCCCGCGGGACCTGAGTCGTGACTTACTCCGGCGGTACCATTGTCAGGACCCATTGCGCAGGATGAGGGCTTTGAAAGCAGCGGCAGCGGCTCATATTGTATTGTGACTACTCCAAATTGCCAATTACAACAATCATGGAAACTTAAAGACACCGCAACACGAATGCTTTATAAATGCGGAAGTGTTAAGTGAAGATACGAAGGATTGAAAACGGTTTCAAATTCCATCTTGGACAACATGTTATAATGTTTTTATAATAACTATCGTGAGACATACTAAATTAACTAAAAATCGCGGGTTACTCACGTGTACGCCGCGTCCGCGCACGCTGCTCATGAGGAAGAACCCCTCTGTGGTTCGAAACTAGTAGAGCTTTTCTCAATTTATACACGTGAGTAACCCGCGATTTTTAGTAAACATGTTATAAATTTTTCGTAATTCTCGAAACCTTGTAGCGTACTTAGGGTTGTAATCAGGTTTAGCCAAAGCCTTCGTCTCTTTTAAAAGTGAGACTTAAGTAACAGATTAATATATGGGAAGCGTTTAGTTTTACCCTTATAGTAGTGCCAAAAAATTAATATGTATGTGGGAATACACGTGAAGAAAAGATTTTGTCGTAGGAGCTTGCCTTACGGTACATCCTTAGGTGGCTTAGGTCGTGTGGGTTAGTTGGGGGATCAGGTTCTGTTCCTCTTATTTTGACGACGAATAGTCTTTGGCTTTTATGTACTTGTAACTGAAGACTGTATGTTGTATCTGATAGACGTAAAAGTAACTATAGCTCGTCATAAACTTAAACAAGGTTAGTACAAAGTCAGTGCCGGGATCTAAAACCAAGACCACTGCCTTCACAAGCTCGATGCTTGTGATTATTCGACCAATGAGGCAATCGGAATTTGGTCCTATGCAATGATATTATATATTAACAAATATGTTATAAGCGCGCAAAAGTGAAGAATTACAATTAGTGTCTCTTAGAATACTGTTTGTTTACGTTGAGTACGTTATTGATAACAATAGCTAATTAGTTTTTTCTTGTTTTATTTATCATACTATCCTTTTTCTACAATTTTAATTTGTAGTGACATGTACGTTACATGGACGCTTGGCGCGGAACACATTTTTCGTGCGTTTTGTGAGTGTATAACATATCTGTGGTAATATAATATCAATGGTCCTATAGCCATCCGATATAGGTACATAATATACTACATAGGTATACAGATACCGTATTAAACGAATACATTGATCGTGAACCACAAAAGTGGTTATTACAGTAATTTGCTATGTTTCACGTTAATATACCATGGGATATGTATTTAAATGCCATCTGGTATTCGAATGAGAAAATTCTGGAAGCCACAAACTGTGGGCGGGAATTCCGACTGGCGATGGCGGTTACCAGAGACAAGTTTAAGGACAAAGTTATTAATGCAGTATTTACAACATGTTACATTAATTACAAGTTGATGTTTCTAAGAATAATTATTAGTACTTAAACGTAGTTTGTTTGGTGTTCAAGAAAATACTTAGGTAATCAAAACTGGAGCTCATCGACCTTTATTCTCAGAGTAAAAGTAAAAAATTAACCTGACAATGCAAGCTGTTAACTCTTAACACTTAAATCCTCATCATTAATTTAAAAATTGCTTAATAACTACAATTAGCGATCATTTTAATATTCAGATGAATTTAAAATGGCGGGAGGCGGCCATTTTTTAAAGTACAAGCTTTAACTATGGCACTAAGGAGTTCTGTAAAGGAAAATGCACTTATTAGCTGAGGAGGGTTTGTGGAGGGTTCTGGCTAATGGTTGCTATTCACGGCTTGAATGGAAACGCGAAATTGCCAACAATTATATACTCCCGCAATGATAACCGGTGGATGTTCTGCTTCTACAAACTCAGGTTTGGCCGTGTGCAGTCGCGGGCTTTTACCAAGATCCGTCAGCCGAGTGTTTATTGTCTGCGTCGGAGGTTGCATATGTTGATGCGTCGTGGGTAAATATTTAGGTGACTAGACATTTATGTAAATGTGAGCGTACTTTTGTTAATGTATCTAATACTAAAATATGAACAGATTAAGGCCCGAAGAGCTTATTAGAAGGTCAAACCTACGCCTTAGCCTAACCTTATCTCTGCAGCTAGCCACATATTGTTAAATAAAATACATTTCTCTAGTAAAATTTCGAGTTGTGAATTCTTCCGGAGAAACGGTTTCTGAGTGACAGAACAACTCCAAAACCTAACCAGAGTGTGGTATTGTGCGAAGCATGTGCCGGGGCGAGGTGACGTCACAACATGGCCGGCAGGTAGGCAGGAGAGCGGAGATAGGATCCGGTCATCCTGCCCATTTCCGGTCTTCACGCGGCCGTGACGCTTCCGGGCACGCGTCGCCGACGCCGAACACGAGGCTACTGATGAACTGGAAGAGATATTTTGGAGTTGTTAGTTGTTTTATTATATTAGAACAGTTAATCTATGTTCAAAGAATACAATGTAGCCATATTCCTTATTCCAGTTATATATCCTAATCATTATTGCTTCATCCTAATTAATACATTGTTAATAACAAAACGAGACAACCCAGTTCTTTTATTCTTTAAAATATCCCCAAATCAAACTTTTATATCTATTTCATATGTCATTCATTCGTTCATTCATTTAATGCTGGCTGTAATTAGCCGCGTTACCATAACTTGAAATTAGAACACGAAAAAATTATAAGTATTGTCTCTTCCAAAAAAGTAAACTTTTCCCGCCAACTTCTATGTCACGCCGTTCTGCCGTCACACGACGCGACGTCTGCAAGATGAGTTTTGTAAAATGAATTCGTTTGTAGCTACAATTGAACATGGTTCTGTCGCTTCTTAGTTGTGCGAAGTTAGTAGGTATAGGTACTTTGTTATGTGTTTACTATGCTTTAGAATTATTATCAAGCGAAACTTAGCAGTCACATCGCGTTTTTAAATAATCATAAGAGGTTGTCTATGATGGGACAGAAAATTATACAAATTCATGCATTGACTAGCTGTATCTAGTAATAAAAGATGTACAGAGACAAATATGTATTCAATTGTTTTGCGTGATAAAGAAACAATTTATCTCGCAAAATAAAATAATCTATTTGACGCTCTTATGAATCGTGACTCCAAGAAGCTACCTTCAACATCAGCTACGTATGCGTAACAATTTCATAATATTGACAGGTGCCTTAGGGCCCACCTGACAGCGGTCATGCCCATATGTCGGCCTCCACTGGCGGCTCGGCAGGGACGCACGCGAACTACGCCCTTTTCTTGACTACAACACTAGTCTATACAACAAAATACATCGAAGCCTTTATACCAAATTCCCTTAAAAATATTCAACTAGACCAGTAATGTAAATCGTTAGACAGAAAAATTTTGTGATGAAAATCGAAAAGCGATTATAGCCCTTAAGACACAAGCAACTAAAATAATTATTGAATAAAAATATAAAGTTAAACAGTAAGCGATTGTTACGTGTAATTAAAGTCGTGTTTTGAGCGACGCCCTCTTAATTTGTTCCCCCTTTTGTGTAGGGGGGTCGCGACATGTGCGAAGTGGTACTTTAACCTAGCTTTTAATCATCTCAGGTTTTTTTAGCTTCTGGGTTAATTATTTTAATTATTGTGGTTTTTAAACGGCAATTTGTTGTTTCCAGTATTAATGTGGGACTTCGAATGTGTCATTGGTTCAATATGTTCTACCTGTGTCTTTGGCTTGTATACGATTAGAATTACTGTTGATGGATTCCTAAAAATGTTCATCAATGTTAAGATTTATTTAGAAAGAAATAACTTAATTCTTTACTTCCTACCTAGATTTCTTTTTACGATAAGCTCGTATTATTATCTCTTTAAGAAAAACAATAATAGTATCCAACATCTCATTATCACACCGATTATAATATAAATTTATTTCCTCTGTCATTAATTAATCGCCATATTGTCGAGATCCGGCAATTAATAACACGAAATGGAGTGTTGAAAAGTTTTTTCTTACGTTTTTTGATCTCTCGAAGACAGCAGAAACTAATTTATTAGAAATTCAAAAATAAATAGCTAGTGTGCCGTGGACGGGCGTGACGAAAAATAATATTTTGTTTTTACGTCATTTTTCGACGTGATACGACTTAGAAAAAAGGGTGACGACGCTGTTTCGTTGTGAGACAAAAAGATTGAGAGCGAAACGAATTTATGTATTTCGATGTATGCGTAAGTATTCGATGGAGTGTCGATGAAACAAACTAACGATAAAAGTATTAAAACTGTCCTTTATTAATTCATTTTCAAAGGCTTGCTTGTATTATTTAGTGATTGATCCAATTTTGATTTATAAA